AGCCCAAATGACCTGTCTAATTCATTCAAGATTGGATTGGTTATTTATTCGCCCATTTATTAAAGGAATTTTTACTTTTTATAGCAAAGGTTAACACCTTATTTATTTTAAATAATTACCATTTAAAAAATTATATTCTATAGATAACTAAAAGATAAAGAGAAATTTTTATAAAGCACTATCATTTAAATAAATACCATTTAAAAATATTTAATTTTGGTTATCTCCTACCCCTAAGCCACTAAATACGCTATTCAGTTACACTATTTTCTTTTTCTCTCTACTTTGATGCTTGTCACTCTCTTTCCCCATTCCCTGAAAACACCATGCTCAATCTCAAAATTCCTCTCACCATAAATATCCAGTGAAACTCCTTGCCACCGCAGCATTTGATAATACTTAGTCAATTATTAGATTCACACCAGTCAAAAACGCTAGAAATTCCCACTCTTTTTTCTATGGAGAAAGAAAAAAAACCAAAGCGTTACTACTGAAAAGTATTTCAAACTGGCGATCGCCAACCAAGATATCACAGTCCGTGAAATCAAGCCTAAGAACAGGCGAATCATGGTAAAATTCAAGAAACCACCTATCATTTTGGCTTCTGTTATATGGTGAAATTTCTTTTCCAGCGGTGGGAACAGTGAGATTCAGGGTTTTTGCTAGACGACGGAGTTTGGAGCTGAGCAACTTGATTTTATGTTAATATATTTCAATGTATTTTCAACGTATCACGCTATATTTTCATGTATTTCATTGTATTCATTGTCTTTTTTTCATTGTAATTTAATGTATCTCGCTGTATTCCATGTATTTCATTGTATTCACTGTCTTTTTTTCATTGTATTTCAATGTATCCCGCTGTATTCTATATATTTTATTGTATTCACTATCTCGCTATATGCTATGAATGTATTCATATATTTTTTTTAATTAATATAATTTATGTATTCAGATGTATTATATATTTTCTCTGAAGATTGTATGTTTTTAGGGTATTTTTCGGTTGAGAATCTTTTTTATAACTGGAAATACAAAATTTATGTGTTATAATTGAGTTTGTTGAGCTATATTAGGAGTCTATTATGTTAATTGATTCATTTTTCGTTTAAAATAGTGTAATCCTCTGTTTCTCGCCGTGAATACAGTCGAATACAATAATCTGTCCAGCTGTTATCCCATGTTTCACGCCATTAATACAGTCGAATAAACTCGAATATAACAATTGATTAACTGGACTTCCCTGATTCACGCCTATTTTTGCTACTGTATTCATGAATGCAGTAGCTTAAATACATCTAATACATCTTATAACAACAAAAAACATATCTACAATCCGTAATATAGCAAATGATATCTATAGACAGCTAATTACCATTAAAAGATAGTACTTTATGAAAATTTTGCTTTATTAAACTTAGCCATCTTAACCCAATCCATCTCAACCTATTTAAAATTGGTCTAATTTTTAGCCCAAATTAATGCATGAGTAACTTTGCCAAAATATCATTGAAATAATTTTTTTCGTTTGATTTGATATATATGACCATAACAAAAGAAAAAAAAAATCTTACATAGCAATTATAAAATTCATAAGAAAACAACACATATTAAGTAGGGAAAATACTAGCTATGTCCATTTATAAGTAGTTTATTAAAAAAAATTGGTCAATTCCTAAATATTACCAATATAAGCCAATTGGCTATTTGTAGCCAAAAAAGGGTCAAAGTTTTGCTTTCTTTTGAGTGGGTGTTATTAGAATAGATTGGGTACATATTAAGGAGCTTGAATCTTAGTTTTGGGATGATTCGGTGGAGTTTTTGAGTTAGTTTGAATTGAAAATTTGAAGTAGAAGATTAACATGAAAAAATGATGTGTATCACTGTATATCAAATATACATCATATTTGTATCAAATATGTATCACATGTATATCCATGTATACCTGCGTGTGAGATATATGCGTATACATGTTTGATACATGTGTCGCAAAAGAATTTTTTGGACTCGATTTTAACTATGAATTTTGATATTAAATCAGTCCAAATCACCTCCAATCTTCCTCAAATTTTGTATATTGACTCATCTATAATGAATCTCAANTTATTTATTTGTGTTTTTAATTTTTATATGTGTTTGGCTAGTTTTGATAAGTTTATGATTAATGGTTAGAGGTTGGTAAATTGGTACTTTTTTGGACATTTCTGTAAGATTTCCTGTTAAGTAAAGCTTGATAAGAGTTGGGTGGGTTGGGCTATGACCCGAATTTTAACTCATCTTAATCCAATCAATCTTAGCTCAAGTAACTTTTGGGCGGGCCAATATTGACATAAATTATTTTGACCTACCCAAAATCCGCCCAACACGCCCATTTGACACTCCTAGATAATACCAAGAATTTTTGGATACAAATTCTTCCAAGTTCCAACTCATATTCAGAAGCGGAGTTAGGTTTTTAACTTTATGGATTCTGAATTTTAAAATAACGATTGGGTTCTAAATATGATAATTGTCTTTTATTACGTGAATTTTTTAATACAAATATATTATTTGAACAATATTATTGGATTCGACCGAACGCGCGCCAAAACTTCTTAGTTCCGCCCCTGCTGATCAATCTTACACCAGCAAGCTGTATCCTACAATACAAGTGATTTCATCATCAATCTATTGTAGTAGCTAGTAACTGTTGTGTAATTTGCTATTATCTACAAATCTTTTTGGTCCAAAATTCTTGGATTTTTTCATAAGCAGAGTAGTGTTTCACCAAATAGAACATCCTGAAAATCCAGGCAGCATCACTCTTACCCTCGTTCAGTTTCTTTTTTTTTCCGCTAGAACAATATACTTGATATTTAAAAAGGATTTTTGCACTATTAATAATCTAAAAGATAATTAAAGGTAATAAGAGAAAGTAATCACCTAGAAAATAAAACAGACACGTAACATGCATGATACAGTATGTTTTATTGCACTGAAACTGAAAAGATGATTTCATTGTCAATGTGGACAAATTAAATCGAACAACTCAATATTTTTGCACTATTATTTAGGATAGAAAAAACCACTTAATTGTTTCCAAAAAATTAAAAAGAACTTGAATTTTGAATTAGAAATTGACTTACAGCTTGTTTGAGTGGTTTACCTATTTTGATATATTGTATTGTTACTCTAAATATAATATTTATTTGATTGTTATTTAAATTTTATTGTGTTGTATTGTTAAATCCATCGTTACGTAACGACAAAAAATATCATTTTATGTAACGACAGATCTGGTGTGGTGGTGTCGTTACTTTGTTTTTTCTCTCATCTTGTCATTTTTTATTATTAAATAATTATTTTATCTCTTACCCTATTATTTTATATACTTCTAATTTGTACCCTTTTTTTTTAAGTAATGTTGCAAATTGATTAATGTAGTATACGCAAATACGGAAAAACTTGTTTCCTGTTAATTGGTTGCATGTGTGGATGTTTCCTGAAGCTTCTAAATAGGTAAAAATTGTGTGGGATAGTCACTTTTTAAAGTGGTATTTACTTTTTATCCAGCATTTTTAATACAGAGCAAAAGTAGTCACTAGTCTATTAATATTAATATGAAAAGACAGTATTACCCTTTTCTTCCCAAACGGAAATACGCCATTTTCAGATCCATTCCTTACAGCTCCACTTCTCTTTCTGCAATGGCGTTCTGGAGTCCTTATGAGTGTTTTCATTATTTTCATATATGAAACCCAATTTTGAACAGAAGAAATGAAATGCATTAATCATATAAATTTTATAAGCCTCTTATTTTCTTTTGTGTCTGCTTTCAGGAGTTGAATTGCTTGACTTTACTCATAATTATTACAGACGTGGGAGGACGTGGCTTTTGATTTTCTAAAAAAAGTGACTTTTAGATTTTCTTAAACAACAGATAATTAGGAAAAATATGGTAAAAAGCCAAAAAGGACAAAGATAATTGTGTTAAGGACATGTAGTCCTAGAGTCCTAAAGTTAAAATCAAAAGTTAAGGACATGGTCCTGAACTTAGAGTTTCAAGTTCAAAAGTTAAAGAAATGTAGTCCTGAAGTCCTAAAATTAAATTCAATAGTTAAGGACACAAGTTCAAAAGTTAAGGACAAGCAGTCCTTAACTTACAGTTACAAGTTCTAAAGTTAAGGACAGACAGCCCTTAACTTATAGTTACAAGTTCAAAAGTTAAGGACAGACAGTCCTTAACTTACAATTACAAGTTCAAAAGTTAAGGACAATAGGTTCTTAACTTTGATTTCCAAGTTCAAAAGTTAAAGATAGACAATCCTTAACTTACAATTACACGTTCAAAAGTTAAGGACGCTTGGTCTTGAAGTTTGAGTTCCAAGTTCAAAAGTTAAGGACATGTAGCCTTGAAGTCCTGAACTTAGAGTTCCAAGTTCAAAAGTTAAGGACGTGTAGTTCTGAAGTCCTGAACTTAGAGTTTCAAGTTCAAAAGTTAAGGACGTGTAGTCTTGAAGTCCTGAACTTAGAGTTTCAAGTTCAAAAGTTAAGGACGTGTAGTCTTGAAGTCCTGAACTTAAGTACAAAAGTTAAGGACATTAGCAGAAGGGTATTTTTGTCCGAATAATTAAAATTTATTAAAACAGTAACTAAAGACTAAAAACATTTTAAACGATGACTTAAAAGTAAATACATATGTTATTAGTGGTCAACCGTGCACTACACCTCTAAATAGCCGTAACATGTCACCCAGAGTGAAGCACAAAATGTCAAATAAAACGGTCTTCAACATAATAAATTAAAGAAGAATATATATTATCTTGTGGATAGGCATTGATGATGCTCGAAAAGCGCAAATCCAGAGGACCAAAAAATATAAGCTTAGCAATTGACAAGTGTCCCTCCACCTGTTCAATGTAAAAGCAACTAAGCAAACAATTTTGACACGTACTACTTCATAATCTTATAATTTTTTCTATATATAAATTATTCTCTTCCCACCTCCTTTGTTCCATAAATAACACGTACTGAAAGAAGAGAAAATAGCTCAAAGTTAGAAGAAAGAAATTGTTAAGGCATTGACAAGAAAAGAAAGAAGAAGAAAAAATGGCAAGGACAGTGGCACGAACATTAGCAGCACCGTTGTTGTTTATTAACTTAGTAATGTATCTTATTGTTTTAGGTTTTGCTAGTTGGTGTCTCAACAGGTTCATTAATGGCCAAACTAATCATCCTAGTAAGTTCTTTATTTCTCTTTAGTTTTATATATCTTGTTCATGAACTATGTGGTTTTTTATTTTAAATGGTACACAAAAGGTCAAGTCATATAGATATGTTTCTTTGTTTTATTTTATTTCAAGAACGTTTAGTTTCAATGGCTCCTTATGAAGAGTTCACAATTAAAAAAAGCAGGACTTAGCGACGGAGAAATGGAGAAATTCTCTAGCTTACAGAAAAATCTATTGCTAATCGTATTATCGACAGATTATTGAAATTTTTGTTGGCTAACGATTTAGCGATAAACCAACAATGAAGTTTGTAGTTATTTTCGTTTCTTTTTTGGTAGTGGTCTATCAGCAATTAAATATTTCGCGATATTTGCATGCAGCATTCAAAGGAAGTAAATTTGAAAGACAATAAGGTGTTATTGTTTAATGTATGTGACATCTTTTTTGCTTAGTCTTTTAAAAAGTGATATATATATGATTCTATAATTAGTTTTTAAAAGTAAAAATTGATGAGTCTGAGGGGAAGAGTGAGTTTAATTTAGTAGAATCTTTTACTTGGAAAGTTTATGGTAAGTTGATTTTATGAGTTTAATATTATGTAAATTTTTGCAGGTTTTGGAGGGAATGGAGCGACGATGTTCTTCCTCGTATTCGCGATATTAGCAGCAGTGTTGGGAATAATATCGAAACTGATAGGTGCAAAACATCTAAGGGCGTGGAGAAATGACAGTCTAGCTGCTGCTGGTTCATCTGCTGTAATAGCTTGGGCTGTAACTGCACTAGCATTTGGGTAACTTTGATACCTTTAATTATTTCTAGTCCGAACTATCTTTAATACATACTGATTTAATTTGGATGGTGTAAATAATTTCACACTATCAATTAGTGCTAATTTAGCATGTTGTGTCAAATTTAGGTCGTGTTTGTCTCATTTTTTCAGAGAATTAGTTGTGTACTTTTGATAGACAAATAGTTGTTTATTATGAGCTTAAGTTTTATGCATATGGCGATGTAAACGTAGTTTCACCTATTATTATGTACATAAGTAACATGTACGATATTTATTAGTTCATCAAGTTCAATGCGTATGACGGAACGGAATAAGCAATGCTTACATGTGCACCTAGGTCCTTTTATGGTAAATCACAAGTAATTTGATGATTAGCGATAATCTAGTCAAAATGGTAACTAACTTATGTTATTATAGGTTAAAATATATTGATCATGTGAAAATAGTTTTACATTGTCTTTTTATATAGTAAATCTACTCAGAGCGGCGGAGTCATAATTTTGAAGCTTATAAGTTTTGAACATGCCACCGAACTCATAAGCTTGTTCACACCGAGTTCCAATTAGATATTTGTCTATACATTTAATAAATTTTTCATTATGAAATAGGGTTTATATAAGCAAAAGATAATTGGTTCTTTCGAACCACTAAATTAAATGATACACTACCTCGACCCGTGAATATGTGATTTTAATAGTGATCCTTCTGCATTGTCAGTATAGAATCTAAATTCTAAGCCAATAATTAAATCTTATAACTTGTAATATTCTGATTTTGTTGGGAATTTATTTTGTAGATTGGCATGCAAGGAGATAAACATAGGAGGATGGAGAGGATGGAGGCTAAGAGTTCTTGAAGGTTTTGTGATTGTCCTTGGAGTCACCCAACTTCTCTACGTTCTAATGCTTCACACTGGATGGTTTAGCAGTACGTACGGTCCGGGATACAGAGATACCGAATACGGCGTCGGCGCACCCGGCGGAGTTGGAGAGAAGGGTACTACTGGTGTCACCGGAGCTAGGGTTTAATTTAGTTTACTTTAAAGTACGTGTTTAATTTGTACGTAGTCACCATGCTATAGTTCATGAAACAAGACTTGAATTTGTGTACGCTGATATATTAGGGTTGAAGTTTGGGGGCCCTCTCTTGAGTTTTAAGTATATTTGGTTTATGTTTTTTAAATGTGAGGTGACGTGGAATTGGGTAATTTTCGTTTGAAGTTACATTATCTTCAATAGTTCTTATAGAAATACATGTCATTAATGGATTTGACTCCCCTCCATTTCTCCAAGTTCTTATTTAGATTTGTGACACTTGTCCTCTTTACATATTAATGGTTCAGATTTATTTAACTATCAAATAATCTTAATCATGGTTAACATACCTTTATTTTAGGAAAAAAAATACTCTCTAACATTAGTATGAAATCTTCATCTCCAAAAATAATATTAAGAATGCACAGACTAAATGAAGATAATATGTAACTTATTTGCCAACTCGGCGTAGATTTTAACCACACACACAAAAAAGGCGGAATAAATTGCTGCAATATATATTTAAAATTTGACATTATCGCCTCTATTTTTTTTTTGTTTTTGTTGAGAAATATTCTTAACAGTTGTACATCATTGGATAAAAAACATCATAAGGTAACTAGTTTTTCCACTAGCAGAAACTAATGGAAGCCATGAAGTCACCCATTTAACATGGAACAAAACTGAATGGATGCCATGAAGTCACCCATTTAACATGGAACAAATATGAAGTTAGAAACGTATTTATCAATAGCTAAAAAAATACAGCGTTTCCGTATTTTGTTAGGCAAATACTTTAATAATATTTTTGGAGATAATGAGTTCTTACTAAAGTTCTAGAGTATTTTTCCTAAAATAATGGTAATGTAAACCTTATTAACCATGATTAAAATTTTTTGATAGTTAATTAAATCTGCACCATTAATATGCAAAGAGGACAAGTGTCATAAATCTAAATAGAAACTTGGGGAAATTGAAAGAATGAGAAATGGAGGGGAGTCAAATCCTATATTTTTGCTTAGTTATTTATGAACGAGGGATCCGATTTCTCTCCATTTTCCCACACATGGCATCGCCGAGATCCCTCGATACAATATTGAGGATCTCACAAAGATAGATATTTTCTTTATTACAATTATAGTGATGCCGTGTATTTTAATTTTTTGTGGAGTCCCAATAAAAAATAAATGCCAAATTGCTTCAAATTGTTGGAATCAAAGTTAAAAACCNTATATATATATATATATATATATATATATATATAAAATTCATATTCAAAAGTAAATGGAATGACTTCTAGATATTAATGTTTGTTTTTTATTTGGACTCCATGAAAGAACAAAAATACAGGGATTGTTTTCAACTTTGATTCCAACAAAAATAAAATACATTGAACAACTTCTTTAAGAGAGAGAAAAGTTTTTAATATATTTATGGACAAGTTATTAATTATTTAAATCATGGTTAAGGCATTGCTTTATGTAGCCGCTGCTACCAACCAAGAACAGAGATTCCCAGAAAATAAAAGAAAATTAAGGAAAGACTGGAAAAAACAGATAAAAATAGAGGAATGTTCATATATCGATACTGATTCCCTTTACAAAGATAGGTTAAATACTAGACTATGACAGCTGTCCTTACACTGACAATATCTAAAAGAAAATACAATGAAAAGGTAACACGTGCCTTCCCAGCTGTAAATAGCCGTTTGGGACCCTAATTGAAATACTAGCCAGAAAACTAATCCTAGGACTGAATAATAACATTGAAATTGCTCTTCTTACCTCAGGCCCATCAACAAGCTAGACTAACTCCAATTGGGCCTGGGTTACGAAATACCCAATTTCGTAATACTTTAATCAATTAAATCTTAACCATTAATTCTAACATATGCTATGTGTCCCTAATAGGCATTGCACCGATATTTTACCAGACTAATAAATGTGAAATGTTATGATAAATATCACATTATGGTGGATGTCTACTCTTCTTCCATGATTTTTCATCTCAAATGCTTAATGACATATTCAATGATATATTTTGTATGTTCAATGACATATTCCATGACATATTTTCTTCATTTTTTATGCCTATAGCCTTGTAATAGATAGGAAAATACACACAATTGAAGAAGAAAATCTCTTCCTTTCTCTCTATCTCTATTTCTTGTTCATGTTTTGCTAAATTGTCTTCATTTCTTGTTCATGTTTTACTAAATTGCTTTTATTTCATAACACGTTATCAGCACGAAGTCTCTACCCTCAAGGTTGAACTCCACTTCTTACGAGGCATATCTCTATGATTTACTGTCAAAATTATCAAGCCTAATAATTCTTTAGTTTTTTTCCAGATATACATATGAGTATATTCCGCCAAATGAATACTGGTTCATTTATTTATTTATTTATTTTTTCTTGTGATGTTTCATCATAATATAAACTTGAACATCATTTTTTTTATTCATGAATATAGTACTGACAAAGATCGATGAACAAAAGTGTAAATCTTTTGGAAAATAGAAATAATCCTTTTAACACAATGAAAAACAGAAATAATCATGAATCTCATGACGTTATAGTAAATATTCCTAGTAATAATCTCATAGCTAAGAGGAGCTAATAAAATTTCATTATCCAGTATATTGGGAACAATAGATGTATAGACGAATATACCATTATCATTCATTTTGGATTGGTATTTGTCACCTAAATATCATACAGAATCAGAAGAGTTTAGTGTAATCGTTTCTTTACGCTATTATCCTAATAATTTCTAATTATTTATCTTCTTTGATAGTCTTTACTATGTCGAACTTGTCAAAACTTGAGTTTGTGGCACTTGATATTTCTGGAAAGAACTATCTATCATGGGTTTTCGATGCTGAGATTCACTTAGCTACTAAAGGCCTTGGTAACACCATTACTCATGGTAATGAGGCATCAAGACAGGAAAAAGCGAAGACCATGATTTTCCTTCGTCATCATTTGGATGAAGGTTTGAAGGTTGAATATTTAACAGTGAAAGATCCACTTGAATTGTGGAGTGGTCTGAAGGAAAGGTATGATCACTTTAAGGCTACGGTATTGCCAAGGGCTTGATATGAGTGGATGCACTTGCGGTTGCAAGATTTAAGACCGTAAGTGAGTATAACAATGTTGTATTTCGAATAACTTCCCAATTGAAATTATGTGGGGAAGTTATGAATGATGAGAATTTACTGGAAAAGACTCTTACGACTTTTCATGCCTCAAATATGGTATTACAACAGCAATACTGTGAAAGGGATTTTAAAAGGTATTCTAAATTGATCTCATGCCTTCTGGTGGCTGAGCAACATAATACCCTTTTGCTGAAAAATCATGAAGCCCGTCCCACAGGGTCAGTTCCGCTTCCTGAAGCGAATATGATAGCTAGACGTGATAAGTCTGGAAAAAGACAGAATAATAATCATGGCCACATGAATGTACGTGGGCATGACAATGGTAAGAGACGATATAATAGTCGTCATCGCGGTGGTCATGGCAAACGAGAAAATAATATGAGTTCTCGAAACAATCCTTCACGAGGCAAAAGCGGTAACTTCTACCGCTGTGGCATAAAAGGTCATTGGAAAATTGAATGCCGTGCACTTGAGCATTTTGTCAGACTTTATCAAAACTCCTTTAAAAGAAAGGCAAATAATGTTGAAGCATCTTCTGTTAATGCTCCAGTGGAGTCACATTTGACCTTTAAAAATGATTTTGAGGCAGGGCCTTCAAACAAAAATGATGACAATGCCGAGGCAAATCTTGCTTTGAATGATGATGATTTTCAAGGTCTCGATGATATTACTCATTTGGAAGTTGAAGACTTCTTTGGAGATCAAAACTAATGTTTGATCATTTTACTGGGGAATGCAATTATGTTGTTATTTTTATTTTCGGTATTTTTGTCTCGTCTGAAGTTGTTTTTATTTTCAAGTAGTATTTAAGTTGTCTTATGTTGTCGTTAGTGATGTTAGTTGTTTCCGTATTTCTCACGATGTATTTTTTTTGTGAAGAAATTAAAATTCTCCAGTCTTCAATTGGATCCAAGATGAGTAATGAAAATTTATGTCTTTTGGATAGTGCTACAACTCACACAATATTAAGAGAAAAGAAATTTTTTTCTTATTTAGTTATGAAAAAGGCCTATGTTAATACAATATCTGGTAGTACAAAGTTGATTGAGGGCTCTGGAAGAACGGCCTTATTATTACCCGGATGAACGATATTAACTATTGATGAGTTTCAAAGTTATTCGCCAAAATGGCTACCATGTTGAGACATCAAACGAAGGAAAGGTTGAATACCTTTATGTTACTACAATAAAAGCGAGTAAAAGATATGTGCACGAAAAATTGCCCGCATTTTCTTCTGGATTGTACCACACAAACATTGGTGTGGTTGAATCACATGCCATAGTAAACAAAAGGTTTACTACTTCTAATGATTTTATCATTTGGCATGACTGGTTGGGCCATTCCAGTTCTAATATGATGCGCAGAATAATAGAGAATTCAAATGGGCACACATGGAAGAACAAGAAGATTCTTCAATTTAAGGAATTCTCATGTGTTGCTTGTTCTCAAGCAAAATTGGTTATTAAACCAACATCAGCTAAAGTTGGGATTGAATCCCCTGCATTTCTGGAACGTATACAAGGTAATATATGTGGGCCTATACACCCTCCATGTGGACCATTCAAGTATTTTATGGTCTTGATAGACGCATCTACAAGATGGTCACATGTGTGCTTATTGTCAACTCGTAATATGGCATTTGCGAGATTGTTGGCCCAAATAATAAGGTTAAGAGCACAATTTTCAGATTATACAATTAAGACAATTCGTCTTGATAATGCTGGTGAATTTATATCTCAGGCCTTTATTGACTATTGTATGGCCATTGGAATAAAAGTTGAGCATCCGGTTGCTCATGTTCATACTCAAAATGGTCTAGCAGAATCATTGATTAAGCGCCTCCAACTAATAGCTAGACTATTGCTAATGAGGACAAAACTTCCCCTTTTAGTGTGGGAAAATGTTGTTTTGCATGCAGCAACACTTGTGCGCATAAGGCCAACAAGTTATTATAAAGTCTCCCCATTACAATTGGCTTTTGGTTAGGAGCCAAATATTTCCCATCTAAGAATTTTTGGATGTGCAGTATATGTTCCAATTGCTCCACCAAAATGCACAAAGATGGGTCCCCAAAGAAGGTTGGGAATATATGTTGGTTAAGAATCTCCTTCTATTATCAAATATTTGGAGCATATGACAGGAGATTTATTTACAGCCAGATTTGTTGATTATCATTTTGATAAATCAGTTTTTCCAACATAGGGGAGAAAATAAACAACTAGAAAAAGAGATAGATTGGAACGTATTATCTCTATCTCATTTAGATCCTCGCACAAATTAATGTGAACAAGAAGTTCAAAGGATCATTTATATGCAAAACATTACAAATCAATTGCCAGATGCATTTACTAACCTTCCACGGGTTACAAAATCACATTTTCCAGCTATAAATGCTCTAATTCGAGTTGATATCCAAACTGGACAGTATGATGATGCAAATGAGTCTAGGCCACGCCTTAAACATGGTAGATCAATTGATTCCAAGGATAAGAATCCCCGAAAAAGGAAAGGAGCAAATGATCAAGTTGTTCATAACATAGCAATTGATAAGACCTCACAGAAGGTTCTAGTACCTGGAAATGATAAAAATGAAGAGATATCAATAAGTTATGTCTCTACGGGAAAAAGGTGGAACCGAAATATCGTTGTTGTTAACAACAATTTTGCATATAATGTTGCATTTGAAATAATGCAACAACATGAGGATCTTGAGCCAAAATCTGTCGATGAATGTAGATAGAGAAATGATTGGCCAAAATGGAAAAACACAATTCAAACGGATTGGCTTCACTCGAAAAACGTGAAGTTTTCGGACCAATAGTCTGAACGCCTGAAGGTGTCAAGCCAGTGGGTTACAAATGGGATTTTGTGTGAAAACGAAATGAGAAAGGTGAAGTCGCAAGATATAAAGCACGACTTGTGGCACAAGAATTTTCGCAAAGGCCTGACATTGATTATATGGAGACATATTCTCCTCTGGTAGATGTAATTACCTTCAGGTATCTAATAAATCTGGCAGTCCATGAAAAACTTGATATGTGGTTGATGGATGTTGTCACAGCCTACTTATATGGCTCACTGGACAATGAAATTTTTATGAAATCCTTGAAGGATTTAAAGTTCCTGAAGAACATAAAAGTTCAAGAGAAACTTGTTCAATAAAGCTTCAGAAATCCTTATACGGATTGAAGCAATCAGGGAGGATGTGGTACAATCGCCTTAGCGAGTATTTGCTAAATGAAGGGTACAAAAATGACCCTATTTGACCTTGTGTCTTTATTAAGAGGTCTGGATCTGAATTTGTCATCATAGTTGTGTATGTTGATGACTTGAATATCATTGGCACTTCGAAAGAGCTTCCAAAGGCTGTAGAGTGTTTGAAGAAAGAATTTGAAATGAAAGATCTTGGTAAGACAAAATTTTGTCTTGGCCTCCAAATTGAGCATGTACCAAATGGAATTTTTGTCCATCAATCAACATACACTGAAAAGGTTTTAAAGCGATTTTACATAGATAATGTACATCCATTGAGTACCGCAATGATTGTGAGATCGCTTGACATAAATAAAGATCCATTTCGGCCTCAAGAAAATGATGAAGAGCTCGTTGGTGATGAAACTCCATATCTTAGTGCAATCGGGGCACTGATGTATCTTGGCAACAATACTCGACCAGATATTGCTTTTGCAGTGAGCTTATTAGCAAGATTCAGCTCATCTCCAACAAGAAGACATTGGAAAGGTGTTAAGCATATATTTAAATATCTTCGGGGAACCATAGATATGGGATTGTTTTATTCTAATGAATTCAAGTCAGAAATGATTGGCTATGCCGATGCAGGTTATTTGTCTGATCCACATAAAACCCGATCTCAAACAGGCTATTTGTTTACATATGGAGGTACTGCTATTTGTCTGATCCACATAAAGCCGATGCAGGTTATTTGTCTGATCCACATAAGCATGCCGATGATTTTTCATCTCAAATACTTAATGACATATTCAATGACATATTTTGTATGTTCAATGACATATTCCATAACATATTTTCTTCACTTTTTATGCCTATATAAAGGCCTTGTAATAGATAGGAAAATACACACAATTGAAGAAGAAAATCTTTTCCTTTCTCTCTATCTCTATTTCTTGTTCATATTTTACTAAATTGTCTTTATTTCTTGTTCATGTTTTACTAAATTGCTTTTATTTCATAACACGAAACACATATTCTTTCATAACATATTTGTCACTTAATTTTGAAAACGAAATATGTATTTTACTTTAATTTAGTTGTTAATGTTAAGTTGCCTAATTTAATATAGATACGGAGCGTGGATAAGCATTTACCCTAAGTCGTACGTATTACTTAGAGAAGTAGGAAGACAGGATGTAGCTTGATGGTTTTGGGCTTAAAAGTCTAGCTGGACTTAATGGACTCCTTGAGGATTCTGATTTTACAATTTTGGGCTTTTCTATACAATTTGATCCAGATAAAGTTGGCAAGTTTACATTGTATAGCCGCTTATCNAGAATCATAAATAGCCAGATTTACAAGTAGTAATTAAAAAAAAGTAATCGAAATCTAGCATTTTTCTCGTAAAAAGATAAAATTCGAACAAAAACACCTTTAAAAATCGAGATTTACTAGTCCAATTAATCATGACTTGGGCCACGTAGAACCCATTAAAGGGGAAACATTCCTTATTTAAAATTTAATTTCTTGAATGTGGGGCTTCTTGCGGAAAATCTGAATAAACAAATTAACATGATTGAAATTTTTCTATTTGGATTGTGTTAGGTCTAATTCCTAGTCGGATCACAAATATCGAGCGTCAAATGAGAAACGAAAAAAAAGGCACGAACCCAAGACTCATGTTAATTAAGACTATAGGGATGTCATTGTATCTCACCACAACCCTTGTACTAGCATGTATTCACTTAGCACTACTGCAGCCGTTTTACATTTAATCAACCTTTTAATCCTTGTATAAGGTCATGTCAATTTTCCTAAAACGAAAAACTTTCGCATGTTGTTACATTAACGAAAAACTTATATGAGACCTCACTTTTATTCATTTTTTTAAAAAACTTTCTTCTAAAAGAGATGAAACTTCTAACATAGGGAAGGTATACAGGGGCGGATCTATAACGCCATTAATGATGCACGTGAACCTATGATCTCAAGGTTTTTTTTTGGTAATAAATGTGAAATATTACAACCAAATTGATACACCTAAAGATCAAACCACCTTCTAGGAAGGGTGCTTGAGACTTCTAGGCCTCAACTGGGGAAAAACTAATTACATAATCTCGGTATTAATATTTGACAACCTCGAGCTCTCTTTGTATCTTGTATCATATCTAGTCTATGCCTAGTTTTCTTTTGCATCTGCTCTGTAACAAAACTAATGTTACATTTATATTTCGAAACAACTTCTAATTCCTGGCCTGCCATGCATGGTATATCATCGCTCCCCTGACTGTCATGATCACATCCTTCTTTATTTGCCTCCAGTGCCTTCTCTTGACCCAGCTTATCGTTTGTCTCGCCCCATAGCTTTGCAACTGAATTCCTAGCCATGCTGACAGCTCTTCTCTTAATTCAGTAATCCATGAACATTCAACAAATATATGTTTTTGAGTTTCAGTCAGCCCCTCTTCGCATAAGTAGCATGCATTATCATGGTCTCACTATTACACTAGGTGTGTTAT